TTCCAGCAGCTCCAGCCCTAATTGGTGTTTACATTTCATAACTTTTGAGGTACAATCGAGCATGCTCTTTGCACCAAGATTTCAAAGAGAGTCATATGACTCTTGCTCAGAAGTTGTTTGATCAGGGCCTCAGTAAAGCTTTCAAAGGGTTTTCTGGTACACATGCGGAGGACATTTCCTTATTTGACGCATCAGTGACAAAAATGATGTCCGATGCAAATCCTTATTTTGACTTGTACCATATGTTCCTGTTTTTTTCATGTGAACAATTGACTTGCCTTTGCATGTTCTTGTGACGGGTGCTACCGGTGGGACAGGATACACTCACCGTTTCGCGAACACCTGGTGTCATCTGTTATTGAAACTGATTCGTAAAAACTTGATTTTAAGGGCGGTGTCCATTATATGTTACCAGATGTTGTGATCTGGTTGTACTAAATCACCCTCTTTACAAATTTCTGACTTCAGTGATATAATCATATATATTAAGAACATTACAGATTTTCCGAGGTAAAAATATAATGTCACTAGTTAATGTTACGCATACCGGGTATATATACTCTTGAAAAAACTCGGGGATCCACGTAAAAAAACTTAACATTTGCAATACTAAAAACAATGTATGCGCATTTCAGTTTATTGTAATCTACTGTAGGCTAAAGCACATACAAATAGGTTACATAATGCCCTGCCCCACCTGTTCTTAAAGGTGATAGATGCTGTGTTACAACCCTTAATGTAAAAAGATTTACATTAAGGGTTACGTGTCAACTCTTGTTACAACCCTTAATGTAAAAATTACACTTAATGTAAAAATATTTTACATTAAGAGTTGCGGGTCCTCCCTTGTTACAACTCTTAATGTAAAAAATACTCTTAATGTAAACATTTTTATATTAAGAGTTGAAGTGATAGATAATATTTTTTTTACATTAAGGGTTATCACTATGAAATAATACTTATCAAACTTTCATGAAACTTCGCAGATGTAATTGATCGTTACTTTGTGTAGATGTGCAAATGACTAATCATTTTTAGATTCCCTCTCTACAACGACCACCTGGTTGTTATATTCACAAAAGAGTTTATGACCCCTAACCCCTTTAACCAATTTTTATCAAACTTACTGTTTTACAAAGGTTATGTTTCGATACTCTGAAAGGTAACCTCGTTACTATCCTAATACCGTAAAGACGGAAAGGAGGACTCAGCCCAAGCAGATCAGACCAAGTTGTAGATGATGTTGAGTTGTAAGAATGGTCCATTAACAGAGTTTTAGGCATAAAATAATGGGCAGTTTGTTGCAGTATTACGATATGACAGTTAAGCATACACCAGAATCATATGCTATAACAAACGAAAGGAATTCCAATGCAATGTTTGGTTAAAAAAAAACCCGTAGGTTTCCCAAGTACCGTGCCGAGTCAAATATAACCACTTAAAGTTTACAGTTTTCGGGTATGAAGTCTATACCTTTTCTTTAGCAGTTTAGCATATCCTGTAGTAAGAATATTGTTGATTGAAAATAGCGAAAAAGAACATTAGGCATACGGCCTGTTGAGTATTTCATGTCAGTTATGATTAGGAACCGACCATTCGATCTTCTGTGGGAGCTGACATAAGCTCACCACGGAACTTCGAACCGTAGTGTGAATAGATTTCGCATGACGGATGACGCACGCCGACGGATGGCAATACGTCACATAAGCCTTTCGCTCATCTTACAATGCGACAATGCGACAAATGGCCAAAATGTCGCATTGTCGCAATGTCGCAATGTTGGCTAATTTTGACAGTTTTTGCTTGTTTTTCCAAGGGCGACAATGCGACAACGCGACAATGTCCCTTGAAGTATTCCATATTCAACCGCAACATATTATAACATTTTGGGGGGTAAACGAGCATATTATAAAGAGACGGCCAATATCTGACACATTTCAAAACAGCGAGCGACTGAATAGAACATCTGCCAGACTCGTTCTATGTCACTGAACCCCAAATTTCAGCCCCGTATAGAAGTATTGGTGTTATCTTTGTATCAAAACATTTGAAGTAAAAGCGAGGCGAGTATGGTTTCAAGGAATTTATACTAATTAACAGGACCATGAACAACTTAATTGCCTGAATTGCAATATTATTTAAGTACTCGACCTCAGTAATCTATTGCTAAAATTGTTGTTGACAGTATTGCCAAGCACAATAAGGTCTTCCGCAAGTAGAAGTAAACAAATATAAATACATTCCGAATGTAACTTAACATCAAAACGACAATTGTGTTCCATTTCAGTAACCAATTCGTTTATTAAAAAACAGAAACAAAAAGTGACAAAGCATACACCTTGCCTCACACCCATGAAGCAACAAATATATTAGATACTCTGTGGTAAGTCTTTACATTACTGTACATGGATTGTAACATTTTACCCAGTCTTGTATATCAATCGATGCTAAACAATAATCTATCACGCTACACCCAAAATGTCCAATAGGGGGCACGGGTGGCTCAGTCGTCTAAGGCGCCGCGATTCTCTCTGCAGAGTTGCGTCCCTTGGGCCCGTTATGTTGCTAGGTTTGTCAGCACCATACCCGTGCTCGTGGGTTTCATCGAAGTGATAAACGTCTGAGGCCTGCATCACTTCGGGCTTTCCTCCCACATTAAGCTGACACGCCGCGATATAACTGGAATACTGTTAAAAGCGGCGTTAAACCCAACACACTCACTCAATCACTCACTAAATGCCCAATAAATGTACAGTCACCGATTTGATAGTCAGTTCCAAATCTTCCATTCACAATATGTATGTTCAAATTTGAACACATTTCCAAGAGTTTTTCGTAAGGTATTAAGTAATTCATCACATGAATATCTTTCTATCTCAAATTGTGCAAAAAAAACTCTACTAAGTAAACATTACTTTCAACATGGTGAAAAACATCGTTCTCCACATAGTCCCGCGTCACACCGGTTCTACTGTTCATGTACAATGGACCCTTTAAGATCCGGGGTCTTCAGCGACCCATTATTGCATTCTTGCCGTAAAAGGCGACTATGCTTGTCGTAAGAGGCAACTAACGGGATCGGGTGGTCAGACTCTCCCATGATGTCGACCACTGGATTGTCTGGTCCAGACTCGATTATTTACATCTGGATTTATTCATATAGCTGGAATATTGTTGAGTGCGGTGTTAAACAACAAACAAATCCAAGTACAATGATAGAAACAGCTGGGTACTCTTCCAGTGTACTCAATAGAAAAATACAGCAACAGCTCTACCCCATTTTGTCTATCTTCGTTGTCACACCAGGTCGATTTCTCCGGCTGCATATATGTAAACACGCATAATGTATCTCTACTGAAACCAAACATACTTTTATCCAACAGAATAGTAATAGCATGTTCTCTGTATCGAACATCAATAACATATCTTATCAGTGAATATTTTATCAAAAGTATGCCTCCCGAATACCTCCCGAACTCGAACCTTTTTGTGGCTGGTAAATTTCTATTGACTATGTTTCTTATAAAACAACAATGTCATTTTCAGGTACAATAGAAACAAAGCCAATGTCGGATAGTTTGGTGGTTAAATCTTCTATATTCCTTGCAATGTAAGATATGCTTTTGCATAACCTTCGACCTTGTCTGCAGCACCCACTCCTGATCCACAGTTGACGATGTTCCACTTGAGTCGCGATCTGCGACCGGAGCCGACAACTGATGCTCATCATCTTCCAGAATAGAAGCTGGCATGTCCTCAATAACGAGCCTGCCATTCTTATTATAGCCCCCCTTGTTCTCAGCGTTTCTCACGCTTTCGCTTATTACGAATAATTGCAAGAAACCGAGCAAAAACAATAAAAAACGTGAAAATAGCAAAAAACTATCCTATCTTTACAATCAAACATTGTTAATAAGAATATTTTACATTAAGGGGCAATATGTACGATATTAACCCTTAATGTAAAAAAATAAAAATTTTACATTAAGGGTTGCGGGTTGTTACTCTTAATGTAATTTTTTTCACATTACCCAATACATTTCTTTGACCTTTACGCACAGTATAGGTTGCTGGGGACAAATACGGAGCATGGTGCTGACAGACCACTGATTGTAATCTGAACGAATGTGGATTTCGAACTCTGCACGTGTCGCCCTGCACGTGCCTGGGACAAGAAGTGACGACCCTGACACGTGCAGGGCGATAAGATGGCGAAGACGTTAGGAATTTAAGCAGCATCCAATTTGGGGACAATTCATACGGTAAGTAAAGACAGATCAGATTCAACTTTGAAAGACAGTTAAGTAGATTTTAAACGCGAATTTTATAATAATCCTGGGACCCATGGGGTAGTTAGCGGAAGGGGTGTGTGGAAGGAGGTTGTTGGTTGGTTGGCTTGTTGTTTAACGCCGCACTCAGCAATATTCCAGCGGTCTGTAAATAATCGAGTCTGGACCAGACAATCCAGTGAATAATATCATAAGCATCGATCCACGCAATTGGGATCGATGACATGCATCAACCAAGTCAGCGAGCCTGACCACCCGATCCCGTTAGTCGCCTCTTACGACAAGCATAGTCGCCTTTTACGGCAAGCATGGGTTGCTGAAGACCTATTCAACCCCGGATCTTTACGGGTCCGACGAATTTGGGATTCGATCCCACGATCTATGTTTCTGGCACGCCTAAGGGACGCAACCCTTTAGAATAGTGAAACTCTCCTTCCCTAGCATGTTTAAGGAACAGTTACTTGTATGTGGGAGTCTTGAATGTTCAAAATGTTTCCTCATGAACATTCCCCAATTCCATCTTGAACCGGGCGCACGGGTGGGACAGTCGTCTAAGGCGCCGCGATTTGCTGTGCAGAGTTGCGTCCCTTGGGCACGCCAGAAACCTATGGTTTGAATCCCGATTCGCCCTGATTATGTTTCTAGGTTTGTCAGCACCATACCCGTGCTCGTGGGTTTCACCGAAGTGGTAAACGTCTGAGACCTGCATCACTTCGGGCTTTCCTCCCACATTAAGCTGACACGCCGTGATATAACTGGAATACTGTTAAAAGCGGCGTTTAACCCAACTCACTCACACTCCATCATGAACCCTGACTCACCAAATGCCTTTTGTTTGTAACTCTTTCAAATAATTGATAAATATTTTGGCTTTCAATACATTAATGCCTATGCCATAATGCGTCCCGTCAAAACTTCTCACTCCGATGGTCATATTATAGGTGGGCATAATAGGGATCCCATGCGGCTTCAACAGCTTCGACATTCTTTCGTTAAAAGCTATTACTTGTGGCTCGTTTTGAGTATTGGATCTTTTCATACTGCTAGGTGCATGAAGATGCATCCACATCAGTTTTGGCCACGGCTGTTTCGTCATAAAATCAAGAACTGGTTTCAGGTAATGATTGTATATTGAATTCGAGTCGAGTCCAACGTGAAATCCTATCCCAACAACAAAATAAGATCTCTTTGTTCGAGGGGCGTCAAAGAAAGCTTGTTGGAACTGCTTTGAAAATTGAAAATTGTAGTATGGCGTAAACCGGAGTCGAACCCGACCCCCACACAATTCCGTCACATTCTGAGGAAGTTTTGCTCTGCATAGTTTCTCCTCATACATGTTCATGCCAGAACAGCGTTTCTTGATATCTGAAACAGCGTCAACAATAACTTAGACATATAAGAACAGTATATCAGATCGCTCACAGTGCAGAAGCTTACTGAATCAGAAAAGCCTAAATTGTTCTTTGATTACCCCGAAACCCCACCACTCCCCGAGTAAAAGTATATTGCTTACAGAGTGAGTGAGTTGGTTCAACGGCGGCGTCTTGTCCCCTATTTTGAGGTTGTAAACCAAACGTAAGACAAGCCAGTGTTGTTATTTGACGGAAAGGCACCCGACTGGTAGGATCTGTTTAAATGGACTTCTATGCACTTAGATATTCAAACAGTGTTATTCTAAACACGTGTTCTTACTAAATGTGTTACTGGTGTTAAGTAAGTAATGGCGGCTGGTCGGTGCGTACGCGTGTGTGTTAAGCCATATTATAACGTACTGCTTCATTCACAAGGTCGTTCCGTGTCTGTTTTACGTAGGGCCATTAGTTAAACGACGACTTGAAAGAATGAAGTCGTATTCCTTACCAACATCTTTTTTCTTTTTCACAATTTACACCCTGCGTAGAACCAACAAACACGGGGTAGAACCCAAGGAGCGCATGGGTGATTCTGACACTTAAGGGAAGTAACTCTGAACAGCAAGTTGGGATGTCTTAGACCAGTAGGCCGTCTGTGCATCCGACATCTGACAGAGTGGGGCGCCTGGATACCTTAGACTTGAAGAACACCCGTCGGAATACTATCCTATTTAATGTCTTAACATCAGAGATGGTGAACCTAACTTATTCGGAAGGGTTTCAGGGTATAACAGTGCAGTACAAAACATAGCACAACGCGTACTGCAACAAAATACTTTCTAGTGATGTCAAACGGTGTACCTGCATCTTCAGTGGATCTCAGACCGCCGTCCTCGAAGTTGTGTCTGATGGCCATCAGCAAGCCTGTGTACATATGCCTGATCAGTGAATCCCCTATGAAATAGAGATAGGCCCCATCCAACAGCCTGCAGATCTCTTTCTCAGACGTCTCTTGTGGGGAGCATCTGGGGTCACCTGTCCTCCACGTGGAGTACTCGGCATGAATGGACTGACGAAGGTCCCAGCAGTTAGGGCAGCGACACAGGTCCTCAGTGACATTCTTACATCTAAAGTTGAAACAACAAGGGGTCGTGCCTGTAGGGCTACACATGGCGCGAATGAAAGGACTGACCTGCGAATATCCCTGGTTGCCACACTGACCATCTGGTCTCTGTAGGCTTGCTGGGACGCCATGCATCTGGAGAGCCAAGGCATAGAAGTCTTCTGACTTCCGTTTCTCTACCAGAGACAGAGGTCGGGTAATCCACTGCCCTTGTGTCATGTGATCTAATACACTCGGGCACGTGTTGTTGACTACTGCTGCAGGTGCCGGAGGTGGTAGAATTGTTGAAAATGGAGCATGGTATACACAGACAATACATATTAGAATGACTGCAATAAAAAGAACAACTCGCTTTGATAAATGTTTAGATCGGTGGGCCATACTCAGAGGCTAGTGATGTAGGATGCCACGGCTGCCGACAGTGCTTGCAGGTACTGAAGACTTCACTTAACACGTCACCCTGTACATCATTTGTGCGTGTGTGTATGTTCTTGTATGTCAAGGCAGTGCTTTTAGGGTTCAGGGATTTCACTGAGCACGTCTTTCGGATTTGTATGTGTCTCTGTGGGAAAGCAGTGTTTGTGAGTTACTGCAGATTTCACTTGGCGCGTCTTCTTGTACGTCTTCCGTATGCGTAAATATCTGTATGGCAAGGCAGTGCTTGAAGGTTACTGGTAATTTCAACTGGCGCGTCTTCTTGTACGTCTTCCGTATGCGTAAATATCTGTATGGCAAGGCAGTGATTGAAGGTTACTAGAGGTTCCACTCAGCACGTCTTCTGGAATATCTGGCGATTACACATAACACGTCCCATCCACGCCTTGTACCTGTGTGGAAATAAGACGTTGAGAATATCAAAACGAGAGATATAAACATATCAAAATACAGCCTGGGGTTACCTACAAATGTCTGAAACATTGTGGACATCATTTGTGGATAAATTCCTTAAGCCTTTGTCACGATTCAGAGCTACGTTTTGCCCCTTCACACACACACACACACACACACACACACACACACACACACACACACACACACACACACACACATTCATACAGCTGTCTGGGCCAGACAATCCAGTGATTAATATCATGAGCATCGATCCGCGCAATTGGGATCGATGAAATGCATCAACCAAGTCAGCGAGCCTGACCACCCGATCCCGTTAGTCGCCTCCTACGACAAGCACAGTCACCTTTTATGGCAAGCATGAGTTGCTGAAGACCTATTCTACCCCGGATCTTCACGGGTCACGAATTTGTTATGTTATGTTATGTTATGTTATGTTATGTTATGTTATGTTATGTTATGTTATGTTATGTTATGTTATGTTATGTTATGTTATGTTATGTTATGTTATGTTATGTTATGTTATGTTGGGCAAGACTAGCAGTAAAGGCAATCAAGATGTCCAATTGTGGTTGATGATGTGATTAAAGCACAGTGGAGTCAACCCTTAACAGAGACCTAGGTATCTACCTACCCAGCGTGAGCTCCACTCATTCACACCATCAACCACAAATGGATATCTTGATTGCCGTGAAACTATGCAAATCGACACTTCAAACTCTTGTTATTGAGGATTTGCATGCTAGCCTGTCACACAGGCATGTGATTACCATGCAGCATGAGGTAGATTCCAGAACAGTAGCAAACAGCATGGTCACTGACAGTGACGTAGTGACTTTCTTATTTATAAGTGTAATACGAAAGTGCAGATATATGAAACGTAACAAAAATTAAATATACACAACGAGATGCTGAGCATAATTTGATATGATTGTGGTGAATCTAAATGTGTTTTGCGCATTCATAATGCGAGACAGCCTCTGTGGTCTAGTGGATAGAGGATCTGCCCGGAGAGCGATAGAACAGTGGTTCGATTCCCGGCCGCTTCATACCACGAAACGTTAAATGATAGTATCTGGTGCTGCCCTGCCCTGTGATCGGCATTAAAGGGAACAAACCAACGAACTCGCCGGCTCGGAGTCAGTATACTGTGTCATGTTAAACTGGTGTCTCGAAGGTGCATTTTATCCATATGTCGCATTGTCGCGCATTTTAACGCCTTTCTTACACATTGTTGATGGGGCGACAATGCGACATATTTTAACTTTGAAAAATGTAGCATTGTCGCCATTTGGGAAAATAGAATTATATATTCAAAGCACGACAATGCGACAAATGGCTAAAATGTCGCGTTGTCGCATTGTTTTGTTTTGGTTAATTTTGACACTTTTTACTGGTGAGGGCAACAATGCGACAACGCGAAATGTCCCTTCTTGGACTCCTATCACCGTGGTTCATGAGATAGAAAGAAATCTGCTGCTGCTTCACGGCGCGCAGACATTGATTTGCAGCAAGCCTCATTGCGTAAACGTTTTGTTCGGTTTAACAAAAGTGTTTATATGAGTTCTATAAGCCAAACAACCATTGTGTAATGTTCACATTAAAAACACGTGTGTGAGTACCATGCTCCTTTTGTGAGTTGCAACCTTAATGTCAAGGAGATGTCTTCCCAAAGATGTATTGAAAAATGCTTGATTTAATTTAAGAATAAATTATTTTTTATTGAACTTTAGTAGAAGCACAGTTATTTTATTCGGTTAGGATGTATATTTTATATAAGTTTATATTCCCGTCCATAACTGGGGAGCCTTCATAGCGGTTCACGTGTCCAGTGTCACGTGTCCAGTGCAATATATAGCCCTGGGCCCTGTTCCTCAAAGCGATCCTAGCGCTATGACTGTCCTAAGCCTGTGTTAAAGAATGGGAGTAACGATCATCTCAGTGCTAAGATCTCTTTGTGGAACAGGACCCTGGTCCAACTGTTTAAACCACATGCACCACCTAATATATTATCAATAAAATAATGTCTTCTAAACGTTGTCCCCATTGTTTCGATCAACTCCACCGATATTGACCTCGGCAGACATCCGAACAAACTAAACGGTTCAATGCTATTAACACTAGTATCCACCTAGCAACCGTTGATTAGTTTGTTGTGAAAGGCTCTAACATCCTTTACTGTTTCTGTACGAGCATATACGGGCATTCAGTGTCTTGGGAGGTTATCGACCGCGACGAGAAGCGACGCGTAACAAGTTCGACAGCAGGTATACAGAACATATGTATGTACTGTGATATTTCTCATTACTCATATGTATGTGACGTCCTGCGTGTCTCGTAGGCCATAATGGCCGGACACTGTACACACTATTTGTGTATTTTTATTGTCACTGCTGTACAGTGTGTGACACGAAAATAAAATAATTTTCTTCTTCTTCTTCTTCTTCTTCTTCTTCTTCTTCTTCTTCTGTATTGCTATGGCTATCTTTTCTGTCCAGGTGAGATACTACAGGGTTTCCCGCGCCAGTGAGGACAAGGCGTGTTCTGAGTTCATGTATGTCGATTGAGCTTAATGCTTAGACAGGCGTAATGTCCACCTTCCCGCCATTATATATTATTTACACAATGGACATGAATAGGACGTGACCTGGCTTACTGAAGCCTTATCTTCAAACATTTACACAGTTACCAAGGACACAACATGACACAACAAATTGGCGATGTCGCCTGGTGCAATGTTAATTTGCAGAGGGGAATGTCTGTGTGACTTTCTATTCATTATTATTTACAGATTAAAATATAAAATGCAGCAAAGAGGGTTTGGGTGATCCTGGCACAGTCAGGCTGGTTAGGCTCATCATCAGCTCAGGGCCCTTGCCCCCCCCCCCCCCCCCCCCCCCCCACACACACACACACACACGAAGCCCAGTCAGCGAATGGGACTTTTCCCAGGAAGCGCTGCCTTGTCAAACCAACCCAGAATTTTTCGGAGAATTATTATTATTATTATTATTATTATTATTATTATCATTATTATCATGCAGCTGAGATGCACTGAGTGAAGTAATACATAGAGGATATCAGGCATCATGTGTGGTTGAGAAATTTTAACGACATGCACTGTTAGCAATATTCCTGTTATATGAAGGCTGGTTGGATAGGCACCAAGCTATGGTGGTTAACAGCAAGAAAGGCATACGATGACACATTATCAGCCAAAACAGAGAACCTGGACACCCGATCCCATTGCAATCGACAAAGATCAATTACTTGGGGGTCCGTTTTGTTTAAGAATTACCGCGGTCATATTCAATTAATGTTGGATGTGTCATATTGATCGTTGGGTAATACAGTGCTTCTTTATAACAGTGTACATGCGCCTAATAATCCACTGCTTTTAGCAGTGAAATTATGAAAACTGAACAGTTTATCACGAAATATCCGCACAATATGGACAAAGAATGTCTCACCTGACTGAGGGCGGTATATCCACAACCTGCTCGAGCGGTTTGCGTGTCTTGGTATGTTCCGCGTGTGTCGATAAGACCCCACCCAACCAACCGGTCGAAAAACATTCAACTCGGGTCCCACACAAGCAACACGAAGGCTTCAGTCGTTGAAATGGCAGTATCACAAAACCTATACTTGAAGCACTACTGTCGTTTGTGGAATGTGCTATTCTGATCATACATAAACATGCGTTCGCGTCAACCTCGGGGTGTGTGTGTGTGGAGATTTTTTGTACCCCCACCCCCACCCGCTTCTGAGTGTTGACGGATGTAGCCTTAACGTGACGGGTGCTGGGTAACGAGTTTCAACCTCGCCTACTGCGTTTTGAGCTGGTTGGGACTGGTTCCCCATCTGTTCGGGTGTCACTGATGGAGGGCAGGTCGGGCTACGGATATATATCAATACGTCGTGCATGTGATAAGCTTTCTCTCGGGCATCGGCGGGTTTAGGGTGTAGGGAAAATAGATATCGGACTATATAAGCCCAATCGACTCAAACCATATTGAAACCAGGTGGGGGAAATATGCATTCATTCATGGCCATACTTAAGAAATTACACAACTCAAAGCTTGTTTAGTATCAAGTTTTGATGATATAAAAATTCATCCAAAAAACATAGATTGAATTATTCCGGTACACAATGATTATGTAACCCATATAGGATCTCAATTTTATGATTAACGGACAGGGGCATGACGCGATGTGCACGAGGTGCTTGAAAACACGAGGTGCGTGTAAGGATAAATAATTGCTTAACAGATCTGTTTCCAGTAACTTCTGGAGTTAGACAAGGATGCGTGATATCTCCGACATTGTTTTCGGTATTTATTAACGACCACGCAGAGGACATTAATAAACTTAAATGTGGTATTCAGGTAGACGAGAATATGTTAAGTATTTTACTGCACCAGACAATCCAGTGATCGACATCATCAGCATCGATCCACGCAGTTCGGGATATCATGACATGCATCAACCAAGTCGGCGAGCCTGACCACCCGATCCCGTTAGTCGCCTCTTACGGCAAGCATGGGTTGCTGAAGGACATTAATAAACTTAAATGTGGTATTCAGGTAGACGATAATATGTTAAGTATTTTACTGTACGCGGACGACGTTGCTTTGGTTAGATTTGTTAGACTGTGTCTCTCGCTGGTCAGCACAATGGCGTTTGAAGGTTAATGTGAAAATAACTAAGTGTTTAAAGATCGGAATTTTTCTTTATTATTGGCTCTTCTCACATTGACATTATTAATGCCTATAAATATTTAGAATTTTGACTTTATGTGCATTTGGATATTAATTATTCTGTTAAGGAATTGGCAAAACCAGCAAATAGAGCTCTTGGTGTACTTATCTGTAAATTTACATTAACGGGTGGTATGTTATTTTCAGTTTTTAATAAACTGTATGATATTCCAGCTATATGACGGCGGTCTGTACATAATCGAGTGTGCACCATACAATCCAGTGATCGACATCATCAGCATCGATCCACGCAGTTCGGGATATCATGACATGCATCAACCAAGTCGGCGAGCCTGACCACCCGATCCCGTTAGTCGCCTCTTACGGCAAGCATGGGTTGCTGAAGGACATTAATAAACTTAAATGTGGTATTCAGGTAGACGATAATATGTTAAGTATTTTACTGTACGCGGACGACGTTGCTTTGGTTAGATTTGTTAGACTGTGTCTCTCGCTGGTCAGCACAATGGCGTTTGAAGGTTAATGTGAAAATAACTAAGTGTTTAAAGATCGGAATTTTTCTTTATTATTGGCTCTTCTCACATTGACATTATTAATGCCTATAAATATTTAGAATTTTGACTTTATGTGCATTTGGATATTAATTATTCTGTTAAGGAATTGGCAAAACCAGCAAATAGAGCTCTTGGTGTACTTATCTGTAAATTTACATTAACGGGTGGTATGTTATTTTCAGTTTTTAATAAACTGTATGATATTCCAGCTATATGACGGCGGTCTGTACATAATCGAGTGTGCACCATACAATCCAGTGATCGACATCATCAGCATCGATCCACGCAGTTCAGGATATGATGACATGCATCAACCAATTCGGCGAGCCTGACCACCCGATCCCGTTAGTCGCCTCTTACGGCAAGCATGGGTTCACGCACTCCCCCCCCCCCCCCCCCCACCCCCCACCCCCCACACACACACACACTTTGACACTAAATGAATTACAGTAAGTTTGGCTTCAAATGAGAACGATGAATTGCAAAATAACTCAAAATCGGGAAGAGCCTATCAAATGCCAATACGGTATACGGCAATAAATACCCTGTACCCAACAGCATCTGCTGTTTCGTATTTGTATTCCCGTCACTGGAAAAAGTTGTTTTAGAAACTATCATGCTGTCGAGTTGATATCTTGAACGAACTGTAACATGTTGTCCCAGGCAGCAGCGTGCAGTGTGATGGGAGAAGCACACACTCAATGTCAGCTAGTTCATGTAGACCTGTAATTTCAGTAGCCTCCTTGTTCAGAGTTGGCCTGAAAGGACTTTTTGTCATGAACAATATCAATCGGTTTACCGATGTCAGATAGATGACAATTTGTGGTAGTCTTCGAACTTGTTTTTTTCTTCTTTCCGAATCTTTGGGCTTAGCCTCAAGTAAAACTTTGACATCTTCACATCAACTTCCTCTGGTGGTACTGTTTCCATGTGTACTACTTCGCTATACGTTTCTAGGTGCCAACATTTACCTGCACTTGTACACCACTTCTGCCCTAAGAACATATTGGAATTTAGTTTACTTGTGATAACTCGTTTTCCGTTAACCCGTCGTCGTCAGACCTCGCTAATTCATCTTCAATGTGATAGAAACATGAAGCAAAAGTGTTGATTTTCGGCAAGGCATATGCCAACACTATTATAATTATTGAAACTCGAATAACGGTGAGGATCATGTTAAAATCTATCTTTTCCATTCATCAGTTGCTTACAGCCTTGGGGTTATCTCATGATAGTGCTACAGGTGGTGATCTATTATCAGTTACTTAAACATTTACCTGATACGTTTAAAGTGGTTGTACGTCAAGAAGACGTATTAAGACAGCCTTGAGGTGTGATCCCAATAACTGTCAGGCCTCGGTTTGGGAATTAGCTATTGGGAGCTAGCCTTGAAACAAGAGAGAAGAGAGCTGTGAGGTCCTTAGGGTTTATTCAAGCAAGTGTGTCATATCATTCAAGTTACATCAATTAATATATAATAGTGACGTATAATGATAATAATGATAATAATATGCTAACACAGTGTCCATCTAATAAAGGCATAATAATAAAGGCAATGTATTTAATATTGGAGTATGTACGGTAACATTATACAACAGATGCAGTATGTACTAGAATGATAACGGTAATGACAAATAACATTTCTTAACAGCTTAATTGAGTAGTCGTAACATTTTAATAGAGCATGTACGATAGACTGCGCAAACTGCTTAGATGAGGAACATGACATTTACTTATGAAAAGAGGGTAAACATTAATATTTGTAGTTTCAGTAATAATTATCACAACATAATAATTTCGGCAAATACGGAAAGTAACTAATTGATCCAAATAAAGATACGAATGTACGCAGTAGAAAATATAGCTCGGTTTTAGTTAGTGTAATAATTAGTTTTAGTAGTGATTACTTTGGTGACTACGGTAATGACTCACGGCGGCTGTGTTGCTATTGACTATGCGCATTTCCTAAATATATACGGAGCTAGACGATAACAGCTAATGGAGTGAATACGGTAATTGTATACTTAAACGGTGTGCGATTGAATGTACGTTGTTATGAAGTATAAAGGATGACTATAACACTATTTAAATGACTACAGTAATGAAATTGTGGTATTGGCTGTGTGGTAGCGTATGCAACTATATGAGGGACGGGACTCTTTACAAAATATTCAAATACTTACTTAATGAGGATAAAACCTAAGAAATATGGAATGCGTTGTTATAGCCTATTCTGTAAGCGCACACGGAAGGTAAAGCTGCTCATATAACCTTTGATCGGTGGACTGTCGGAAAATATGGAATAACCGACCTACGTATAAAATAAATCTTGCTTGAAACAGTTGTGTTAACTCTAGGAACCGTTTTGTGACTAATCTGCATGTACGCTACGCTACTGCATGGAAATATAAACTGTATATGCATCTGGCATTTTGAACAGATGATGTTAGACACAGAAGGGGAATATAATCATGGATGTCGAAATATAGGAGAGAACTATTGGTGCGGCATATTAATGACACATAAACTGGAGGAGCCCACGACGCATTACACTTCAAACAACACTGGAGTTGTCAAACAACACAAGTGCCTGAGTATTAAACGGTAAATAATATATAATGAGCAGTCATTTAGAACTTGTACACAGTAGATTGAGCGTTACAATATTTCAGTACTGATTCAACTTGACTAAAACATTTTCTAGACAATAATAACAATGAAATAAGAAGTTTAGTCATTAAATAGGAATATTTAAATGTTTCTTACCTTGAAACAAGAGAGAAGAGAGCTGTGAGGTCCTTAGGGTTTATTCAAGCAAGTGTGCTGAGGACCAACACCCAAGGAGTTTTATACCCCCGCAGCTCTACTCGTATCACATTAACAATTACTTTGATGTTGTAATATCGGTCTCTGTCATCTGCCCTAGGCTGTCAAAGTTGACAACACAAAAGCAGGTGGTAACAGAATAGTATCAGTATTGCCTAAGAAGAGTTCAATTTAATTACAGTTTTAGAAGATGGTCAAAGGGGGCACGGGTGGCCCAGTCGTCTAAGGCGCCGCGATTCGCTGTGAAGAGTTGCGTCCCTTGGGCACGCCAGAAACCTATGATTGTTGGTTCGAATCCCGGTTCGCCCCGATTATGTTTCTAGGTTTGTCAGCACCATACCCGTGCTCGTGGGTTTCACCGAAGTGGTAAACGTCTGAGACCTGCATCACTTCGGGCTTTCCTCCCACATTAAGCTGACACGCCGTGATATAACTGGAATACTGTTAAAAGCGGCGTTAAACCCAACTCACTCACTCACTCACTGATGGTCAAAACCTGCGCCAGCTGGTAACAAAACATTTATCAAGAGAACAAGGGCCGGGGAGGACGTATCCGCCGACTTTATCTATGATTACTTAATTTACTGTTCGCATGAATGAGCTCGCCAAGGGCAGCCGTCAAGGTCGACCAGTGGCGATAAAAACGAGAAATACTGGTCTAGCGACTTTCGAA